TTTTTGTACTAAGGATGAAGCATTTCCTCCTTCCTCCCTGACCACTCATTCGCTGGCAAGCAAAAGATGTTCTTAAAATCCTGGAAGCCTATTTTTCCATATTCCATTAAGGAATGACTTTGTTCATGCTTTCCGTTCTGAAAAATGACTTTTGGGATGACATAAAGTAGAGAAAATCATCCCAAAAGAGAATGCTTTTATGAACACTGGAACCTCTGAAAGGTCAGGACAAGACATCTAATGGAAATGTTAACTGTTAGGATATCATAGTGCTGAAATAATACATAAAACAGCAGTTAGGATTTGAAAATCTGTAGAAATAGCCCATGTTTTAATGTTTGGAAAGGCTTTTCTAGGCCTGACCTAAGATAAAGTTTAAGGAAATTTATGTCAAGTATCTAAGATGTTAAAATATAGGCTATTCCTCCCCTTTACCTTGGTTTTATAGCACTGGATTTCTCACCTCATAATTGCTGCCTATTGAAAATCTAATAATCTTCATGGATGTCACGCACTGACACTACCAGGTCAAAACCAAAAAGAGAAATAGAGCAGCACTGTCTTGTCATCATTTTTCCCTTTAGAAAGCACTCAACCAATAAAAAACTTTGCTCTATTTAAGAGTATGAAGATACACAGGTGTTGCATAAAGATTAACCAGAGAAGTAACTGCTCTGGCTGCACACACCCCCAAGGAACTCACAAAGACACAGATCCAGCTGAAGTACCATACACTGCACATCAGCCTTCCTTCATTTGTAGGAAAGCTGGTTACAGGAACTCCACAGGAAACTAGCAGGGAGACAATTATCTCCCCAGTAAGCTGGTAGCTTCAAGACAGCCTGGAAACGCTGAACAGCCTCCATCTCCCAAGCTCTCAACTGGCTTCGAGGGCATCAAGTACTCCCTGTGTGAACAGCATAGCATGGATTCCTCAAATCAGCTCTGAAACCTTCAATTCTCCCCTAGAGTACGGAAAGAAAAGGAAGAAAAAACACACTCATTTCTGTAGCCTGTATAATGGAAGTAAAGCAGGGACCAGCCTGACATATCAGAGGAGACGCCAAAAAGGAACTACAAAAGATATTTCCCACACAATCACATAATCCCATTTACTCAGAAGACTAACATATAACCATGCCTACAGAACAAATTCTGGGGTACATCAGAAGAAAGTTACTCACTGACAACACGCAAATATGGGTTGCTAATGGATCCACCTGAGAGCTACAACTGCATAAAGCCTGTAGAAAATGGAAGGGTTAGTACAGAAAATACAAATGCTTCCCTACAAATTGCTTTCACTTCTAAAATTAAGTTCTCATGCTGAACTCACCGTAGGTTACACAGCCACTTCAGTGCAACTGTAGAGGCATTAATTTGAATGCCTGCAATTAGCTGCCACCCAGATGAGCTAATTCAGTGTTACAAGAGTTCATACTAAGAAAAAAACTAGTTCACAACAGTTACAGAAAGACAGCTAAAACCTAGATGTCAGCCTAATCAATCTCAATTCTGAAGTGGCGTAGGAAGAGCTTTTAATCACGATTTTCAGGCTGTTCTGTACTCACCCATAGAGACTTCAAGAATGATTGAAACACACAAAAATACAGGGTAGAAGACTACAGACTAAGAGGCTTTTCCTTTCTTTGATGCGTCGTTCATATACCTTATGGATATAAATCTTTTCTGCTTGTGTTTTAAAATGTACATAATCCTCACACACACTAATTGTGAAGCATAATTCATAGCATCATCATCATAATAATCCACCAGTGTTTGAGACTGAGAACTGGAATTCTGGACATCTAAAACACAGGTGCTACTTCTCAGCTCACTGCTGAGGAGACAGGGTGCCTGCATTGTGGGGAGAGAAGGGAAAGAAAAGCATTCACAACAGCCAAGTTAAATCACACTCAGTATTAACGTGGACAGTGAATTCCTGACTAACATCTACAACCTTGTGTTACAACTGCAATATACTTAAAGCTAAGTCAGCCAACTCAATTATAGGAAGAAATAACCGTTTTTAACAACTGCTTTGAACTAATTGAGCTCTTCTGATACGTCATTTCCACATCTGTAACCTCATTATGTAATTAAGGAGAAGCAGCTTCAAATAAGTAGGCAGCAATCAGGTATTTACCTGCTCTTAGTAGGCACTCATTACCTTGTTTTCTAGATAGCAGGTTTGGTCAAGCAAAGAATGCACAGGAACTGGAATTCACCTCTCCAAATAACAAGTGTAACACTGGAAGAATTATCGCTGCACCCATAATCTGACTGGCATGTCAGTGACTTCACCCATTTGCCAGCTCCAGCTGCATGACATGCACCTGGACCATCCCTAAAACATTTGACTAACCGTTAAAACACCAGACAACAGGTAGGGCACTCCCTCCATAGCTCTTTCTGTGCTTTGTTCCCTTCATGCTTTGTAAGGGGTTCTTAACATATGGCTAATCTGTGCAGGCTGATGCTGAGAAGCACAAGTGAGCCACCTGCCCCCTCTCTCAGCTTTCTCCTTCTCCTCAATGTTAGCTGGAAAAAAAATAAATAAATAAAAAAAAACACATCAACCACTCACATCAAACTGCACCCTGGTAAACCTGTGCCTACATGCACGACATGCACAGAGGAAGATTTGCTCTCCAAAACGTCCTGTACTTATTGGAAATCTTGGGCACAAAATCTTGCCTGCTCTTAGCAACATAACTCCTTTCAACCTTTTTGTATTGATTATACTTTTTAAGCCTCTCCTCTTGTTTTCAGGGTCTCTCTCTAACTTGTCTTGCCTACCAAAATCAAAGAGAGAGACAATGCCATAGCTGAGACCTCAGCTGATCTTCACAGAGCACACTTACATATTTGTGTGTAGCAACCTTGCTTATACAAACAAAGTGAGATGGGGCAGGGAGGGGTGAACCAGAAGACAAAAATAAAAAGAGAGGGAGAGTTGCACTGGGAGATGCACTCAGTGCAATTATGTTACCACATCCTATTTCACTACTGCTACTATTTCACTACATCCTTTTTCACACTTGTTTCCCCTTTGTCTCAGGCATTAGATTTTTCCTCTCTTCAATTTGTTAATTCACCACTTCACACCTTTATCTACCAAAATCAGCGAATTCAAACACGCCAAATTCTCTGTCAGTTTCCAAAATTTAAAGTCTCCTTCCACAATTCTGTGGAACAGAACAAGAAAGAGGAACCTCACGCTATGAAATGCATCAGAAACAGAAGTCAAGAGAGCAGAACTGTTTGTATCATTTTCAAAGAAACACAAACTGACAGTAAAACAGCACATCAGAGAGATCTCTGAAGAACAAAATAAGTAAGATAGAACAGTAGGGAGATTTGGTCAGCAGCATACAACTGAACATTAGAGCATGCCCTGCACAATGAGGTTGACTAATGGTGCACTTACGTACTGACTTTCTCTAGGAAGATTTGTTCTTAACTCAGGTCCCTGGGTATGCCTCTCACATCAAGAAGACAGTGTGGTTTCTTGCACAGCTGAATTCTACTATGTTGCTTCCGGCTAGCATCACTAGAAGCTCTGATCAAATTGCCTGACTGTAATAATTACAATCTCTACTTTCAAGCCTCCCCACCATGCCCACTAACCATATCACTCACAGCTCTTGGCTCCATCACCTCCACTGCAGCCTGTTCCAATTCACTATTACTCCTTCTGAGAAGAAACTTCCTAATATCCAACGTGAACCTCCACTAGTGGAACCTGAGGCTGTCACATCTCGTTTTATTGCTCATTACCTGGGAACAGAGGCCAATCCATCATATTATGCCTGTATTGCTTCCAATACATGCAACCACACTGTCTCATTCCTGCTGCGTTTATCCCACACGATTTTCGGGTTTTGCTCTTGCTCTAACTATAAATATGACTTCTGTACACAAACATTAAACATACAGACACTACAGACATATACAGCTGCTCTTCTTGCAAGAGAATTACTAATATCTTAAACCAAACGCATTCTTTGGAAGAGAAGATGAGGACGTGCTTTCAGTTTCAGATGAGCACATCCCTTCTGAAGTGTACTGTTAATATCTACCCCTAGGCTGCATTCACTCAGAAACGTCCCCCATTACTTGCAGGAAGACAGACGAGAAACAAAGCAGAAAGACAAGCTTCAGAACCATCAGCGCTAGCCAAAGAGGAGCCCACACACCAGTACTTCTCCTCCCAATAAGAACCCAACACAGAAGGGCTCAAACGAAACATTCTGTCTGTACAACCGCACTGCAGAGAGCGGCTGCGGCGTGGTTTTCACTTCCTGAGCGCTGCTGTGAGCTGCCAGTGACCCCAGCAGCACCCAGGCCGTGCTGCAGCTCCGCAGGGCACCCAGCACTCAGTGGAGGAGCCGAACCCGCGAAGCTCCCTCCCTAAAGGGCCGCGCTTCACGCGGCACATGGCCGGCACGCCGTCCTCTTCACCTTTCTGCGCGCTGCTAAACAAAAAGAAGAGTTTCTAAAACGGATTTGCTTCAGGTTTGACACTGAAAACTGCCTTATAAGGTATAAAAGCCTGAAAGCAGGAAGAGGCTTTGACAAAACTAAGGAAGTTCCTCTGCGCTTGCTCACAGGCGGGGGAGGGGTTCTTTTTTTTTTTTTTTTTCCCCTTTTTCTTCTTTTTTTTTCCTCCCCTTCCACTGAGAGAAGTAACATAGAATAAATGACACGAGCCGCACGCACAGAAAATCACCGCCACGAGCGCGGCCGGCCGGCAGCTCCGAGCAGCGCGCTCCGCAGCAGCAGCAGCGCCGCCCGCCCTCAGCGGGGCTTCCATAGCGCCCGGCACCGCGCCCGCAGCGCTGCAAGCAGCGGGCACGGCGCCCGACAGCGGATGGGGCGAGGGGAGCGCGCCGCTATCCCGCCCGGCCCGGCCCTCCCGTGCCGCCGCACGCCCCTCGCCGCCATCTCCGACGGCAGCCGCCCCTCCCCGCCGGAACCCGGCTGTCAGCGGCGCTCACCCCGTGCCGCAGTCCACCACACAGGCCGGAAGCCGCCCTGCCATGCTCCTCGGTAGTGATGGTGCTGGGGAACGGCGGGCAGCCCTGGGCTCGCTCCGGTTTCTCTCGGCTCCGGCTCGGGGGGCGAGGGCACTTCCGCAAGGCGGGCGCTCCTCCTCCCCGCCCGCACGCACGGCCCGGCGAGCCCAAGATGGCTGACCCGCCCCTCCCTGCGCGCGGCGGCGGCGAGGGCGGGCGCGACAAACTCGCGCTGACGTCCGATCTCGTGGTCGCGCCCCTGCGCGGCGGTACGAAGTGGAGCGGGCGGGAGGCTTTTTAAAATCTCAATTCCTGGCTGCCTGAAGGACTCCCAGAAGGAAGGCGGAGAAGACTGTATTTTAATGCCGGAAAGGCGAGAGAAGGCGGGGCAGGCTTCTGTGGTGGGAAAAGAGTGCTAAAAATGACAAGATGATGGTTTCCTGCAGCCTCTGCCATTGCGGCTTTAGACAACTGCCCCTGCCAGGGCGTGGAGAGCCTTCCCCATAGACGCTGTCATCAAAGGGCAAATGCAGAAGTCTCACTCTTTCTTCTGCTTTTCAGTGTTTCCAGAAGTGCTACAGATGCTCCCTGGCTTCCTTCAGCACTGTTCACAAGTAAAACACTGCCGTGGGAGAGAACCAGCTGCAGCTGACTGCCCAGCGTCCTGCTTGCCTTCTGACATTTGAGTTCCTCAGACATCTCCTTACCCATAGGCATCCAAAGAAGCAGTCTGAGGTCCTCTTCTTACCCTTCTGTCCATTAAATAAGACCTCTATGCTGCTATCTCAAGTCACAAATCATGGGCACTGCCTGGGTCAGCCATCCCAACAAAACTACCAAAGGGATCGATGGCATGCACCCCTTCTTGTGTTTGGTCATAGGCCTGGGGCAGTGCTTTGAGGCAGGCTGGGAGGCTGTTTCTGACTCAGGATCATGAGTTGCTAACAGTTTCCTGTACCATGCTGTTATTTTCTGCTGAGTGCAGCAGCAGTACATGACTAATTAGCTTCACCTCTATCAGCCTTTCACACGTGCAACATGTATGCTCTTTCCCTTTCTGTTACTCCCTCTTTCTTGTAAGCAAAAGCACACAAACCTTCAACTAAGAGTTGATCATACGCTTGTCCACAATAGAGATGGCAGAAATAGGATGAGTGGGTAAATTAAATTAATATATTCTCAAACTGCAGGACCAATGGCATTAGCAGTTGGCTGGAAACAGTGAGGGATGGGCAGCTAGGAGGGTTGACTGTGCAGCTCATTCTATTCTCATCCTCCTTCTGAAAATATTTTCATCCTAAAAGGGGCCAGCCTGCTGGGATTCTGGTCTTCAGGTAGAAAAAAAAAAAAAAGGGTGTTTGAAAAGTCACCCTTCTCCTTTTCACCTTTCACAGTGCTTTGGTGTTTTAAAGACAGACTGCTGTGTTCAGCAGATCTGGCCCCGTAATATTCTGTACACACACACTATTTTTGGTTGCTATCAATGCACTTTAATGTTTCAGCTCACGTGATATTGTGGGCTCTTCTCTGTCATTTACTAGTTGCTACAGCCTCAGCAATAGGAGATTTGGTGATGCAATCTGATGTCCTGCCAAAGACAAATTTGGTTGCCTATCCAAAGAAGGAGCTATTAGGGCTCACGGTTTCTTTGGGACTTAATGGCTTTAAGTAATGGCCCTTAATGGCTTTAATCAGCATCACCAGAGGCCTCCACCCACACTCCCTGCCCCTGGGTGCAGGAGCCACATAAAACCTGGTCTGTTAGCTCATGGACCTTAGTTGCATTGAGTTTGTGGTTTGACTATGGCTTCCTGGTTTGTATCTTCAGTTTGCTTTGTTCCTACGCATCACTAGATAACCCTGGTGATCACAGGACTGCCTCTGACTCTCGTTGCCATTGCTAGCACTTTTCCTTATCTGCAGGCTGACCTTCTGGTTTGATTTTTGGACCTGCCTCAGGAGGTAGTTTGGTGATGCAGATTCTCTGCTTGAACCTGGTAGCTATCTTTGGGTTTACTCACCTCACTAGATACTGTGGGATATACTCTGGGTAGTGGGTCCCTGCCTTGTGACTTGTTATTGCACTTAGTTCTGTTTCCCTTAGAGAAACTGTCAACCATCTATGCTTCCTTGTTCAAGCATTGGTACTCCTCACTTACATTAAACTATCTTTAAATAAGGATTGCCTCATTCCTTGAGTTACCTCTATTGTAGGGTTAGGTAAGAGTCAGAATCAATGCAAGAAGAAGGGTTAAACATATTGTCCTTTGGATTGAGATTGGAGGGAACAAAACATCCGTTTTTTCTAGCTGCTAGAACACTTCTCTTACAAAGCCTAGCTACCATCTGGCTTCTAAGTGCTGCCATGGCTTCCTGAAGAACACAAGGAGTGGAGATACTCAGAATATTAATGTTTTTATTTTAATATCAAAGCAAATTATGAATAGAACAGCACTTTTTGCTAACAGAAGAATAATTTCACGACAGAAGTTTAAATCAAGCCCACAAACAATCCCCTTAAGGTACTCCATAGGAAACATTCTCCAGCTGGATTTACTTTACTCACTATCAGTAGGAGCATTTTTTGTGAGGTTCAAAATACCGCACAGAAAGTGAAACAAATCTCTCGCTATCAGTTTCTGTTCTTACTGAGGGTGTTTTAAGAATAATACTGTAAAAAGCAGCACTGTTGGGTTTTGTCTTACTAAATTATAGTTGAATTTACATTTGAGAAAACAAGAGATTAGGACTCCTCTCATACCAAGGCGCTAAGTCAGTTGAAGCTTTGCAAGAAAAGGAGTTGGAAGGCTAAACTCTCTGGCTGTGAGCTTGAGTTCCGTTTTATTAGTCTTCAAATGGCTGTAGACCAAGGCCCCAGTCTAATAAACTAAAAGTGTAAGTTTTCTCTCTTTTTCTCTCGTGTTTGCTGTATCCTGCAGCAAAATTCAAATAGGTCAAGCTAAATTTTAATTCTAATTCCAGTACGGACCCTTTGTAGTTTCATGCATTGGGTTCTCAGTTATCATGGTGGATATCTCAGTCAATGCTTTGGAATGCTCTCATTCTCTCCAGCAGAACCAGAGTAAGCCTCGAAATTTCCTTTATCTAGAACTATCCTGTACAGCAGCCATGATCCACCATAAATCATCATTCGGTGATGGATCAGAGTCTACCTACTATAAAACCAGTTGGATTACAGGTGACCTTTTCCTGGATATCCACAATAAGATAATTACCACTGCAGAGCATACTCCTTGTATTGCTGTTACTGCTTTGAGGCAGTTCACAGTGTAAATAGAGAACAAGAGAATGCAGATGAATACAAATGCATAAGGAATGAGAAAAGTTGAGAAGAAAAGTGATACCATTAGTCAACAAGCAAACACAAGAGCAATCTAACAGCTTGACTTGCAGGGAGGTAATTTTCAGACAACAGCTTCATTCAATTTTATATTAAAAAATGTCTTGTGGCCCCTTTTTCATGATACTGCACAGCTTTGGCAGTATTGTGTACTGAAATTTCATGAGTCCTTCAGCTCGAAGAAGAGCACACCTAGGTAAAAGCATTACAGATCACATGCTGAGCTAAATGGGAAGCTTTTCAGCAGTCTTCTCAATCTAGATCATTTTCACGCAGGTAATGGCCTGCCTATGAGCATGCAGAAAGAGCAATGCTATGAATCCACATAAAGTTCAAGGCACAGTGAAGTGCAAGGGGTAAGAAGAAACAAAAGGAAGAAAAAGGTGCAGGAGTGCAGGAATGTTGGAAATGCTGAGGAGAGTGTGATTAAAATAGGATGAGAACCTGATCTTGCCTGGGTCAGCACATTGCCATTCAGACTGGCATAAATTGAATTTAACAGGTGGGTTAATTTCCACTGCATCACACCAAACTTCTTTTAAGCCCAGACAAAACTGACAATAAAAGCTAGAGAAACAATCAAGGAAAATCAGTTCAAGATTATCCATTAGATACAATGATGAGATGCAATGTTTATTGCATGTATTTCTTAAAAAGCACTTTGCTTAATAATTTATCCATCATGTTCTGATTATTTTACCGTAAATAAGTTTTAGTAATTAGTGATGGAAAAATACAGAGAGCTAAAGAAGAAAACACTATCTACTGTGATATTTGACGTATGTAGATTTCTTCCAGGAAGGGCCACAAGCAAAATTATAATGTTACTGGTTGATTTTGGCATAGCTCTAGCAACAGCCATATGGAAGGCATGTAATTTCATGGAGCTGCACATGGCAAAATCATTGCAATTACCAGGATCTCATTTGACATGGCTGCTCTCCAAGGTTTCTGACTTAAATGAACTATTTTATTTTCAAAATAACAAATGGGGGGGAGGGAGAGGGGCAGAGGGAAGGGGAGAAAGTGCTAAGCGATAAGGATATAAGCAGGCTCCCATTTAATATTATGGTGATGACACCTCTAGTGCCCATTGTATTTGCTAGGAAGAGCAACTAAGACTACATCAAAAGATAAACCAGAAAATATAAAGGAAGAATTTCACATCACAATATGGTGACTTAAATAGGAATACTGATATTCGGAACAGAGGCAAAATGTGGAGGAGGAACTGTGAATTCTCATTTAAAGCTTGCATTTTCATTCAAAATTATTCTGTGGTCAATCATAACAAACACAACTTTTCTTTGATGATGTTTGTGAGGAAACTAGCAGTGGGATACTGCAGTATTCCCAGAATAGCAAAATGCCATAAACTTTCTGCCTTTGTATCTTATTCATACTGCACAGATTCCCCACAGTCACACCTTGGAGCAAGGAAGTGGTAAAGTGTAGCTTGGCCCTGATCAGAAAACCGGTATTTTCTCATCTAGTATAATTAACTTCCCTTATGTGTTCCAAATATATATATATATGTGTATATTTTTCTGGAACAAATGTGTATTACTACCTTTTTCATAGTATTCCTAGATGCTATATGCTTAACAGAAGAGAATGTCACAGCTTTGATTATTTACTTGCCTTAGCGGCTGGATGGATGTTAGGCATCCACTTCTGTGTTCATCTAGTCACAAAGCAATGGAAGAAAAATTAAAGATAACTTGCAAACAGATGTAAAACACCTTCTTTAATTTAGTGTTTTAAAAAAT